TGTTATGTACATTATTATATATGTTAATAAAGATTTACTATTTTTTATATAACTATGGATTTTTTGTGTCTCTATGTAGTGATATTGTATCAATAATTACTAAGTAGGCTGAGTAGAGAGCTAAAAGGCTAATTTTGAAGAACTGCTGCAGTGATTTTAACAAACTTTGCTGTTTTCATCCGTTTTACCAGATACTCTTGTTTATGTACAAGTAATTATCTATATCCGTTTTACCAGATACTCTTGTTTATGTACAAGTAATTATCTATAGATGGCAATATCTTCTAACACTAGTTTTGTTACAATGATTGTTTGACCAGTATTGTGCTGCACCAGAACGTCACATGTCAGGAGATGCACAGAGACTTGCCAGTCAGGTGAATCATTTTATGACCTGACAGATACTATAAACCAATTCTAATTCATTACATCCTATCATTTAAGCATCTCTGAGAATGATTGAAATATTTTCTATGTTAAAGTGTGGAAAGCTTTGGGTGCTGTTAAAATCCAGAACAGATTTCACCGTAATTTTGCATCTGATCTGCTGTTTCCTGACCATGGTCAGTGGCATAGCTAGATGTGGATTGTTTTGAAGACTTGAGTGTGTGGGGCAGCCAACAAAAAAAACCAAAGTGCAATATACATTCCACCTCTAAATCTACCATTGCACGTTTGGAAAAGTTAAATCGCAGGGGAAGTAAGTAGCAGGCTGAATGATAAATGTTTAAAAAGTCTCAAAAAATTACAGCCAGATAGTTTTTCACATACTTAAGCATTGAAGCTATGCCATTGATGGTGTTCCTTTAGTTATTTTTGTTGTTGGTATTTCTGAACTGTTAAATGAATCTTTCACCATAGAAATACAGGATTGATAATTCTCAAATTTTATACAGACTTATAAACTGCCCTTGGACCTGATGATTTTGGACTGTTCATGTGCACATTCTGCCTGTGTCAGCAACTTTCATATTTGAAAGCTGACATTTCTTCTTTTCATGATATGAAGGAAAAAGTTGAGCATTAAGAAAAAAACTACAAGTGATTGATAAATGTTTTATCTAAACTTTAGTGTGTTAACTATGAAGGTTGGAATCAGTCATGCCAATTGTAGTTCCATCCCCATCCAGGGAAGCTGTGCCATCCATTGTCCTCGATATCTACAACAGATAAATACAATTTACAAAACTCGACATTCATTCATGCTTTTTATGGTCAGGTATTGGTATTTAGTGGGATCCTCTTTTAGGTATGTTTCTGTCATTTGAATGATGAGAAACCACTCCCGATCTGTAAGGGAGTGGGGGTTGGGGGTCGGGGGTGGGGTGTGGCACAATTACAGTGGATTAAACTTTCCCCGTCTCATGCACAGGTCGCTCAGTTTGTAGGTTGTGTTGCCTGGTAGTTAAGTGTAATGACACAAAAAATTGGCAGCATTCTAGTTCACATCTTTACAAGACTTAAATCTGTTACTACATACTGAATGATGCAAGTCATGCCAAACTAATCATGCTATTGCAGTCAATGATATTGTTGATTGTTTCTCAATCCAGTCTCCCTCTGGTCTACAGCCCAAGTATGTTTCTCAATCCAGTCTCCCTCTGGTCTATAGCCCAAGTATGTTTCTCAATCCAGTCTCCCTCTGGTCTATAGCCCAAGTATGTTTCTCAATCCAGTCTCCCTCTGGTCTATAGCCCAAGTATGTTTCTCAATCCAGTCTCCCTCTGGTCTATAGCCCAAGTACCTTTTTCGTTCAAAATGTGTTTGTCAGGTAAAGTGGTAGGAAACTTCTGTCAATTTTCAGTACTAAGATATAGAAATTGAATTACTTGCATTTCCTAATGTTTTCTGCAAAATAAGTTTCAATGGCAACAAAATGTGAAATAATGTAAGTTTTTTAAACACGATCAGCAAGTATTCATCAATACAAAATATTATATGGTATAAATGATATGTTATTTGTTATATATTATATGTTACATTGTATAAATAATATGTTACATTGTATATATAATATGTTACATTGTATATATAATATGTTACATTGTATAAATACCATGTTACATTGTATATGTAATATGTTTCATTGTATATATAATATGTTACATTGTATATATAATATGTATATATGTTACATTGTATTTATGATATGTTACATTGTATATATTATATGTTACATTGTATAAATACCATGTTACATTGTATTTATAATGTTACATTGTATTTATAATATGTTACATTGTATATGTAATATGTTACATTGTATATATAATATGTATATATGTTAAATTGTATATATAATATGTATATATGTTACATTGTATTTATAATATGTTACATTGTATAAATACCATGTTACATTGTATATATAATATGTTACATTGTATATGTAATATGATACATTGTATATATAATATATATAATATGTTACATTGTATATATAATATGTAATATGTTACATGTTACATTGTATATATAATATGTTACATTGTATATGTATTATTTTACATTGTATATATAATATGTTACATTGTATTCATAATATGTTATATTGTATACTACTCTATTTGATACACTCACCGTTATTACCATACCACCATCCTGGCCCCCTGATCATGTACTGGGCATGTGTGACACTTAAGACCAGTAATGTTGCCGCAGTTACAAACATTATGAGGTTAAGAATGTTTCTCATCTGCAATATATAGCATGGTTGAATTTCTAGTCAGATTTCGCTGAAATACTACTAATGAAATACAACAAAGTGGTTGAAAAGTAAGCAAATGCGAGTTGAGAAAATTGTAATCTTTATTCAAAATAAAGGCATGGGTGGTCGGTGGCCCACTCGCACGTGCCTTTCACCTAGACGCCAGGGGTTCGATTTATGAAAGGTTCGTGAAAGATATCGGATTGCCTGGGCCGACCACGTGGGTTTTTCCAGTGTACTCCGCTTTCCTCCCACAGAACCTGAGCGCGCTTCAATTCAGGCCAACAAGAGTAATTAATATGAGCTAGAAAAAACTTGTTTCGCAATTGTTGTCAAATAGATAAAGTTAAATTCAAAGAGCAAAAAAAAAATAATAATAACAAAAGACAGATTCACACGGAGACCATTGAAAAATTAGACCAGATGTTCCACCGATAACAACCGCCATGTTAATCTTGATCAACAACATTAAAACCATCAACATCATCCTCTCTGCACCACTGGAATATACCATGGTAAAATCAAAGGCATAAACGAAGTAATTTTATTGGTTCTATGAAAAAATAAAAACTGACCAATCATAGGCTGCTACGCTCTTTCTAAAGATTACAGAGGAGCGACACCAAACTTATAAGCCATTACGTTATACTGTTATGCGACCGCATGTACATAAAGAGATCGAACTAATATTTTCGTCTTGTCCACAAGGTGTCGCACATGTAAACTTTAATTTTGCCTTATCGTATTCCTTGGGTGCTGAGTGTGAAAGCATTCTTAACCCCTGGAGTATCGAGGATGCGAAAACAGCTCATTTAATATGGACTATTTCCCACACAGACTATAGGTACAGCCAGAAAACTTTTTCATCGTCATCATTTATCTATAATGAATCCCTTTGTTGTAAGCTTTTAAATACATTAAAACCTCTTTAAATCGCCACTTTCCGTTCCAGTCCATTTTTGGCGGTATATCGAGGGTGGCGATTTAACAAGGGAGCTGTACATACCAGTGTAGTGTATTGAAAAGGAAAAGCGGGTACATGTAACCTTGATAGATAGCTACTGAACGGAGAGAGATCAATGATACGTAGTGATGGAATAGTTCTGTGACCATACATTTCGTTTGAATCCGATACAATAAAATAACATTCAAAAACATTGAAAAATATGTCTTTGGAAACAAAACTATTTCTTTCTAACCGTTGAGTCAGCTTTTCAAATCCAAAGAACTATTGCATGGTCCGCATGACTTGAAAACAAAAGGCGCGTTCGCACTTGTCATTCTCCGTTTCCGCAATTCAAATTCAAATTCGTATATTTGATATTTCAATTTTAAAATCCTAACAAGCCTTATAAATCATTGATAGAATTTAAAAGATATGGAAATATATAATGTTTGTGTATTAGAGTCTTTCTTCATGAAAGTTTCAAATTGTAATATATATGCTGAGTATCTCTTCGATTGAATTAAAATTGAATCTAATTACGAATTATTCTAACGAATTCAAATTACCTAAACTGAAAACAAGCAAACCAACGGAAACAAAGAAACACAGTGAAAATAACGAAAGAAATCAAAAAAAGAAATTTAAGAAAAATAATTTTTGAAGCCAGTAAGCGTAGATAACGTAGAAAACAGCAATACTTCGCCTTACCTTTGCAGACCGTGCTGTTTTTGTCTTTACCGCATGTACAACATATGCATGTTAAATACACTTGCTTGCTTTTAACGTTTCCTTCAAAGTCATGTGACTTTACGGAAACGAAGAATGACCAGTACGCACGCGCCTTTTTGTTTTCATGACACGTGTACCATGTAATGACATTTAGTGATTATACAGAAAATGCGAGGTGTCTGGGCGTACCAACAGCGGCAGACAAGGAAAACAGAGAACCTGTCACTTTAAACATTGCGCGTACATAACTTGGATTCTCCTTTTTTTGTAGGATTTCAAAATAATAAATGTGATTTCTACAAATGTTGTACATCTGTTGTGTTAATGGCTATAGTAAATATATAAATTTCATAACGTGTGAAAGTGGATTTCCTTTTTTTACTACTTCTTTTCTTGTAGAGGATGAATTGAACACATTTTTTTTGTGTGTGTGTATATATGTGTGGGTATTTTTTCTTTTTTGTTTGGTATATATCTTTCCTTTTTGCTTTTGGCTGGTAATAATTATGTTTTCAATTTCGGCTTGGTCGACTTTTTTTAACCTGTAGGGCCTTGTTAGACATTAACGAGTCGCAGAACTTGTATCAATGTATTTTAACTTGACCGGAATTTTCTACT